TTTATGTTTGTCAAAAGTACTTTCTTCCAGCAAAGATTTGAGAAAGAAAAAAAATGTAACAAAAGATAAGCACACAATTGAATAAAACATCCCCCATCAAGGTTAACAACATCAATTAATAGTAGCTTTTCCATAAAGAGAAAATCAATATACAGTTAGAGTAACAATAGAAACAAAAATTCAAAAAAAAAATAATATCTCTAATCTGGTCAAAAAAATTGGGTACAAAATAAATTACATAGAAAAAGAAAAGAATAAACGGAATGGATATATTTGACAAAAATACGATTTATTAGACACGTATTTTCAAGTGCTTATACCAATTAAAAATTCAGGTACGGAACTTGGACCAATCGTTGAAGGCCAAATGTCTAAAATAAACGAAAATAAGGTCAAATAAACGAAGATAGAGAACAAATTTATTCTGTCAATTTTAAAGGTACATTTCTGGGCCTTTTTATCATTCATCCCTGAATCAACTAGATTGGGTCCTGGGTTTTGAGTCTGTTGTAATTATCATGAAACCCACTTTTAGATATTTCTACCCAAAAAATTGTTTTTTCTTTTTCTTTCTAACGAACTTGGAAATTTTCACGGGAAATTTTTTAAAGTAATGTATATATATCCCAAGTGATTCACGACTGTGACTAGAGATTATTAAGTTGCTTTAAATGATTCCTTTTTCACTTATTAAAAATAAATTTCCAGCTTTTGTGGGTCTATCTCGCTCAGGTACTCAATAATTTTGCCCATCAAGTCTGCTTCTTTCCACTCTCTGCCAAACCAAAATTCAATCACAAAACTTTTTTAGTAAAATCATATCAATGTGTGGAGTTTAGATCTATTTTAATAAGATCAATTAAAGTTTCCTCTCTCTCAGCATGTGATGCTAACTGCTTATTAGTGAAACATATTTACTGTAACGTTAACTTTGGTCAATAGAAAAGGTTCACTCCCCAATGTTTTTCACGATTCACCACAAAAGTGTTAAACATAAATGTGGTACTCTAGCACGAGTTGTGTGGTTCAGAGTAGTACTAGATGAAGCTCAGACAATCAAGAATCACAGAACACAAGTGGCAAGAGCCTGTTGCTCGCTTCGAGCCAAATGGAGGTGGTGTTTGTCTGGAACTCCAATACAGAATACGATTGATGATTTATATAGCTATTTCAGGTTTCTTAAATATGATCCGTATGCCGTGTACAAGTTCTTTTGCAATACACTCAAGTTTCCAATTTCCAAAAATTCTCTTCATGGTTACAAGAAGCTTCAAGCTGTTCTAAGGGCTGTAATGCTACGCCGTACCAAAGGTACACTGATCATCTCTCTACTCTCTTAGATGGCAGGTTGAGTGATTTCTATGCTATCTTGACACTTTCTGATTTTTATCTATAGCTTATTCTATAATGAGAGAGTTAAGTTCTCCGGTCGAGTGGTTAATGAAATATGAAATTTATCCTGCCATTTTTGCATTTTCCCTTTTCATTTGTATCTCTTC